GAGCAGAATGGGGACGGGGGTGGGGGCGGGTGGATGGGGTCAGCGAGGTGTGTGGCGCGCTGCGGCGCTTCCAAACTCGGGGCGCGCCGCATGTCACACAGTGCTGGCAATCGCAGGGCCCTGCCCTGCGATTGGCAGCAAAGCATTTGCGGCAGAGGGGCAGCGATTCCGCCGCCGCCACGGCCACCACCGCCTGCCGCCAGCCCCCACCTTCTCCGCGCGCCACCCGGAGCAGCAGCGGGTCCTGTTGCTGGCACCGAGTGCTGGTGCTGCGCCTGCTGCTGCGGGCCACCCGCTGCAGGGGCTTAAATGCAGCTTGGGAAACAGAACCCAGCTGCGACATGGCTGGCGGCTGTTCGGTGAGCCCTGGCAACACCCTCTGGCAGTGCGGGTAGGATCAGGGAGGCGAAAAACGGCGGGGTGGGGGGGCCCGTCATGGGTCTATCCTGATGAAGCCCTTCAGAGGTGCTGGCAATCTCGCTCCCCCGCCTGTTTCCTGTATTCGGAGTGCAGCAAAGCTCACCCAGAACACAACAGCTTGCAACTTGCAGCCCTGTCCCAGTGCCCCCCAACCATGCACGTCGCGGCGGCTTCTTGCCGGCAGCAGGCCGTCGCCTGCCTGCGCAGCACTGCAGCAGCCCGGCCGCAGCGGGCGCAGCCCGGCGTGGCGCGGCAGCAGGTGCAGCAGCAGCAGCGGCGTCCTGCGGCGCGGCGCCGCCTGGCGGTGCACGCCTCCACCGCTGTCTACGGCTCTGAGTGGGCCACCCCCAAGGACGCCTACCTCACCGTGGTGCGTGTTGGGCAGTTGGGATCGCTTGTGTGCTTGGCCTGCTGCCAGCCTGCTGCCAGCCTGCTGCCCCACGCCCCCGCCCAGCTGCCGCCCGCACCAGTGCCGCACACCACACCCGCTCGTGCCTCCACCCGGCCCCCGCTGCCTGCCGCGTGCAGGGCCTGTGCCATTGCTACGTCAAGGAGGACGGCAAGCTGGCCGACAAGTTCATTATCGAGCCCATTACCGCCAACAGCCTCGAGTGCATGGCAAAGGGTGGGTGCGCCGGTCGCAGCGGGCGCAGGGTGGGCAGCCCGGCCTAAACATTGTGGCAGCATGCGGATCGTGCCTGGATGCCCTCCTCCCATATGCCCCCATGTCCTGGTCCCTGGAACATGAGCAACCCACAGCCTCCCCAGGCCGTCCCTGATCCCTCACCCCCCGCCCCCGCCGCCGCCGCCGCAGGCGCGCGCACCTCGTTCACGCACGTGTTCAGCCTGCGGCTGGAGGAGGCGCTGCAGCGCAGCAAGGCCGCCTACCCCGCCGAGTTTGCTGAGGGTACGTTTTGTGAGGATTACGAGACGCGGTGCGACGCGTGCGCGCGCACCTGGATGCGCCCCCATGCCATGGACAACCTGCTGTGAGTGCCGCCCTCCGCCTGGCTGCCCTGCCACGCGCCAGCGCGGCGGATCGGGGGGTGGAGATGCTGCTTGCTGCCACGCACATCATCGCCGCCTGCCGACTCCTTGCTTGCTTCCTGCACCACCCTGCTTGGTGCCTCTCCCCGTCACCCCCCGCCGTCCCCCTCACCCCTCCCCCCGCCCTTCCTCGCAGCGACATTGTGCCCCTGGGCCAGCTGAAGAGCAACTTCAACTACTCCACAGCAGACAAGCGGGTGCTGAATGCGGACAACATCGTGAACGATGACGACAACATCAAGCAGGACCTGTCCATCGACGTGTACGGGCGTACCGCCAAGGAGGAGGCGGCCGCCAAGCTGGCGGAGAGCGCAGAGGCGGCGGCGCCGGCGGCTGCCAGCGAGGAGGAGGAGGAGGCTGATGACATGGATGCGCTGCTGTCGGTGTGAGTGGCCCAGAAGACATGACAAGTGGGGAGCAGCGCTGGCGCCCAACCGTTTTCCTGCCCTGCGCATTGGTGTGATGCACAGCGCCCAGCCGCGCCGAATGCAATGGAGTCTTGCCGCTGAGGGCAGACCCCCCCAAATGAGCCTACGCTGGCCATGGCCACGAGTTTTGCCACCCCATAGATAGCCAAACACCATCCGATTGAGGAACAACTTGAATTTGTAGTCTCTTCTCTGCTGCCAGCTGCCCGCCCCAATGCGCCTTCCCACCATACCCTGCCGCCCGCCGTCGCCCCGGCAGGCGTCCCGCCTGTACTTCTCCGCCGTCCTGTTCTGTCTTTCGTTATCGTTACTACTCTCTGTAACCTCTGGGCATTTAGGCGCCGCTGGTAGGAGGCAGGTCAGGCGCTGGTCAAACCAGGGTGTCGGCAAGGTGCCGGAGGTGTCGCGACTGAAGCTCGCAGCATTCCAGCCAGATCATGGAGCGCCCACATACCGCCCAGTCCGGGCAGCAGCTGCCAAAGTGAGGGGTGTTCCTCCCGAGTGTGCTCATCTCCTACCCCTCGCTCCTCTCAGCCCGGAGGCCGCTCCAACAGCAGCAAGCGTGTGCCTTCCCGCCCGCAGGATTGCGCCCTCCCAGCTCTTGCTGCCCGAGGTGACGCCAGCGACGCGACTGCTGGAGAAGCGGCGGCAGCAGTTTGAGGCTGATGAGGCGCTGGAGGCCGCCAAGCAGCAGTATGCCACGCAGGCAGGTGGAGGGGCATATGCCCGGGTGCATCATTGATAGCAGCCCGGCGCAGAGGGGGGCGCAGAGCCATCGGAGCGGCCATCGACACCCACATGTGCCGCCGCTCCTCCCCAACCGCCGGCTTCCTGCCTTCCAATTGACACTCACGCCCTGCAGGAGGTGGCCTTCCGGCAGCGGGAGGAGGCGCTGAAGCGGCGGGACCTGGAGCTGCAGGAGTCGCTGCTGCGCTTCACCCGCTTCCTGCAGGACAACGACGCCAAGCGGGCCAAGGCCAACCGCAGAGCGGCGGACGAGGCGCGGCTGCGTGGGGAGCGCGAGGCCGAGATTGCGCAGCTGCACGGCGAGGCGGAGGCATGCAAGGTGCAGCGGGAGGGCATGGCGGCGGCGCTGGCCAGGGTGGCCAAGTACCAGCAGTACCTGCAGAGCGTGGTGGAGGCGGGGGAGGCGGGGTTCCAGGAGGCAGGCGACATCCTGGCGCGCCATGCCACGCTGCTCGCCGCAAACGCCGACCTGCGGCAGCAGCAGGCGTCGTGTGCGGCAGAGGCGGAGCGCGTGCGCGGCGCCACGGCTGCCTACGCCAAGGCCATGGCCAGCGAGATCTTGGGCCTCAACAACCGGCTGGCGGCGCTGAAGAAGGAGTCGGAGGCGGCGGCGGCAGAGGCGGCGGCGCAGGAGGCGGCGGCAGAGTATGGGCGCCGCGCGGCGGCAGACCGGCAGCTGGAGCTGTCGCAGGTGCTGGCGGCGGCGGGCAACCTGTACCAGCGGTGCCTGCAGCGCAGCCGGGTGGCGCGGCCCCGCAACGAGGCCAGCCCGCTGGCACAGCTGGAGGCGGTGGCGCACTGCGTGGGGGACCTCCGGGCGGCGCTGGCGCAGGCAGGCTTGATACAGGTGTAATGTTAACAAATGTGCGCATGCGCTGGCCAGTGTGCAACACAGCAACAAGGTAGTGCGAGGCGATGTCAATAGTCGAGTAGAAAGGTGGGGTGTGGGGCGATGACGGGAGTGCTGCCCGCCAGGTGGCGGGGTCGCACAATTTGTTGCTCGCTGAGGCAAACTTGCTTGCGAGTGCGCGGATCGCTGGCGCATCACAACAACACTGTTTCCAGGCTCCAGGCAGGAGGACCCCACCTGTGCCTGATCGCTCGATCGCTCGATCGCCCAGCGTCAGCAGCATTGCCCCAGCGTAGCAGGCTGTACTGCAATGAGCGCCAGCTTCCTGCTACCAGCAGCACAGGCCCATCCAGTACCTCTGCATAAGCGGCGCCATGCCGCCGCCGAGGCGCGGCCAGCAGGGGGCGTGTGGCCCCGCCAGTACAGACTCCGTACAGCTGTGCAGCCAGCCGGCACATCGCGGCGCCACCACCGTGCCCGCCACACTGCCATGCCAGTCTCGGCAGCAGCGGCAGGCGGCGGCGCCGGCTGGCTGCACGACGGCATCGAGGCGCGCGCGCCGCTGGCGCCCTCCCCGCTGCTGCACAGCCCCGACCTGTCCCCCGTGCCGCCCGCGCAGCGCACCTTCTCAGCCTGGGACATGGCGGCGCTGTGGGTGGGCCTGGTGGTGTCTGTGTCCTCCTGGTTCCTGGCGGGCGGGCTGGTTGACCTGGGCATGTCGTGGCAGGAGGGCATCCTCTGCGTGCTGCTGGCCAACACAATCGTGCTGGCCCCCATGGTGCTCATGGGCCACGCAGGCGTCAAGTACGGGGTGGGTGAGCGGCGGGGTGCCACGCTCGTGGACCTTTCGCTGCTCCGCCGCCCTTCCGCTGCTGCCGACGGCTCGGGAGGCCGGCCTGCTGCAGCAGGCTCACGCCGCATGCTGGCTCACGCTGCCCCCGCCCCCGTCATCGCCCCCCGCAGGTCCCCTTCCCGGTGCTGGCCCGGAGCAGCTTCGGCATCCGCGGCGCCATCCTGCCGGCGGTGCTGCGCGGCTGCGTGGCGGCGTGCTGGTTTGGCCTCAACACGTGGCTGGGCGGCGCCGCCATCCACCAGATGGCACAGACGCTGGCGGGCGGCGCGCTGGGCGGCGGCGCGGTCGTCGCCTGGCTGGGAT